GCAAATCTTTAGTCAGCACAAAAAAAAGCCCCCATCCGAAGAATATCTTTTTCACTTGACTTGGTTTAACCTGTGACTGTAACTTCTTATACGTGTTTTTTTTTTATTTTCTTACCATTATACTCATTTTAGTGTTGGGGCTTCTTGTACTTTCTTACTGTGTCTGATTAGAATGATCTTATTACTTACAACTCTCAAATCCAAAAAAAGCTGGGGCTTTAAAGGTTCATCAACCATAATTTTATTCCCAATAGATGAATTAATAACAAGATAATATCTTTAAAGGAAGATATTTTACCATTTTGTGAATGTTACAAAGAGTTTGCATGTACCCCTGTGTCTTAAAATGTTTTATATACTCCAATATGAAAAAATGACTAAGTTTGTATAAGTTTGTCCTTTCTGTTTAATCAATTCATGCACACAACTTACTGATCAGAAGAGATATATGTCATAATCCCCAGTGTTTGAAACCGAAACAGGATGCATGTTGTTTATCATAGATTTTTTAAGGCATTTAGTCTCACGTGTATATTACTCATCAGACTATGAAGGAGTTTTGTGTGTGGATGAATAATACAGTACTGAAGTTTACCTCAAGAAAAAAAGCCAGAAAGGAGACATGAGTTTTAAATGTTCTTGAACACTTCCATCGAATGAAAGCGTCTGCATATTTAGTTTTTTCTTTCCTAATTCTTTGGATTTTTTGGGTTTCCCCAGAGGTGCATGGGACTGAAAATCCACTCACCAGGAAGCCCCCCATAGATGCCTGGTACAGGCAGGAGTCTGCCAGGAAACAACACCAAAGTCAGCTCCGAACCAAAATGAGGATCCATCAGTCTGAGGATCACAGAACCGGGATAGAACCGCAGGTCAGCACTTTGGTTTACCTCTCATAATCCGTATGTAATGGTCATTTTGTGGACGTGTATAGCCACATGTTTGTGTACATTTTCTTTTGTCAAATTTGATGCAAATTGTAAATTCTCCTGCAGGCTAATATGTCTGCAGGAGGGACAAAGATGAGGCAAAAAATATTCTCTGGCTGATTAATGTCAGGTTCCATTCGTAACCTTTATTTATTTTATGTTTATTCTCACAGCATTATCTCCCATGTGATCTTATTGTTGATGTTCTTGTCAGAAAGGTGTGCATACATTCAGTCTGACCATTAAAAGCCAGCCATGTCACAATATCAGTGATGTTTCATTAGGCCCTGGTACAGTAGTGCCCTCCTCTGGGCATTCTTTGGCTCAGGTGCATATGAAAAGACACACATACACACATTTGATGTCAAATATATCCCAAGAGCCTAGATTTTTGTTCACACAACCACACAAAGTTATTGTGTGTTTGTGTACAGTATTTTACAGCACAACTCTGGAAGACGCTAACGGAACTTGCTTGTCACTAAGCAACCACATTTCGTTCTCAAATCCGCTATGCGGCTTTGTACAATGACAGTAAAGGAAATCTATTGCCCTGAGCTTCGTTTTACTTTTTGGTGTCTTGATGATGTTAACTAAAAAAGAAAAAGCATCGGGTTATGTCCTTATACTGCATGAACACAAGCCTAGTTGAGATTATTTAACCAAAAGCTATATCAAATCAAATAGAAAGCGATATGGGAAAGTACTGCACGAGTCAACGGTTTGTAAAAATATCTTTGGCTGAATTAACTTTATGGAATTGTTATCTGTAAGATGTAACGGGTGTGGGATCGGACATAAAGCTTACAAAGCTTACTCTTGACCAGGTTTTGTCAAGTTTTGCTTACGTAAAAGGCACATTCGACTCTAGAATTGAAGAATTCGTGGTTTTGTCAGTGACTGAGGTGCGTTCAGGTCCTCTGGCTGCAAAAAAAAAGCTCATATCATCAGCCCTCTATCACAAGGCTTGACAACAATTACGAGGCAAATGTGTTGATATGCTGCATTTAGTTTTCTCATTCTCATTATCGATTGCCTCTCTAAATCCTGACTGTTGTCTTTCTTCTTTGCCATTGCAAAGGTCCACATCTGAAAACTCCGGACCACCAAACTTCTACTTTTTTTGACACATTGATTTGGCTGTTTGACCCATTACAAAGTGGACAACACCTCCACTTTGTAAAGTGATGTTGTTCACTTTAGGCTTTTTTGAGAATTTTAATATTCTATAAGTGCAAGTGAGTTAGCACCATCGCCTCACAGCAAGATGGTTCTGGGTTTGAGTCCCCGGGGGAACCAGGACCTTTCTGGGTGGAGTCTGCATGTTCTCCCTGTGTCTGTGTGGGTTCTCTCCGGGGTCTTCGGCTTCCTCTCACAGTCCAAAAACCTGCATGTTAGGTTGATTGGACATTCCAAATTGACCGTAGGAGTGAGTCGAGTCGAGTGTGCGTGGTTGTTGGTCCTTGTGTGTCTCTGTGTGGTCCTCCGATGGACTGGCAGACTCGGGCATTGACAACTGGGTTAGGCTCCAGTCCCCCCCGCGACACCATTAGAGAATAAGCGAATTATAAAAATGAATGGATAGAAGTTATTGAGTAAAAGATCAGTTCAACATCTGTAAGTTTGGAAATCTGTAAAAAAAAAAAAAAAAAAGTCTGGAGTCAGGGCTGTTTTGGTTTTCAAGAACCAACAGATTATTCCCCTTTCATTCTGAAAAACAACATTGTTTTCCGCATAAAGAAAAGCAATGTTTTTCTCAGCATAGCTCAGTGGCAGTTGCATCCTATAGACCACAAACCCCACCCCCCTTTTTATTATTCAGCCCTCCGTCAATATTTGTCAGACTCAAATACGGCGCGGCCAAAAAATGTTTAAAAAAAACAACCCTTTGAAATCCCCGACTGGATGGCGTACGGGCGCCAGATATTCTTTTAATGCAAATGAGCCTCTGCCCCCCTATAGAGGCCCACGGTACGGCACGTCTCAGTAATGCAAACAATGATACGCTTTTTGCTCCATTTTCTCCCTCATTTAACCGAGGGAGAGCAAAACAACATAAGAGCAAGGAAAAAATAATAAGTTGGGCGGTGCTATTCAAATGTCAGGATCGTTACGAGCAACAAAGGGAGAGTGCGGTAAATAGAGTCGTGCAGCTGCCCGAGGGGAGGAACCTCAGCCTGTTGGTGTCAAGCATGGATGCACTCCGTTGTGGGTGGTCATGTGAGGTTACAGAACTGTATATGAAATGTGGGCCTTAAGGTCAGAGGTCGGGTCGGGCCGGGGCTGGTAATGTATATATCCCAGTATACACACTGGAGCCTTTATTAGGAACACCTGTACACCTGCTCGGTCATGTGACATTACATACGGTCACGCACGGCGGGAGCCTGACTTGCTGTTTACATGGAGTCGGGGATCGAGTTTAAATCCGTGCTCTGAAAAACGAAGTGGTCCATAACTTCTGCTGGAGCAGGCTGGTTTGAAGGAGTCACGGATCTTTTCACTAGAGTGTTCTCTATATTTATTCAAAATGATGGTAAAAACAAAGTCTCTGCCCATGTTAACAAAAAAAATTGCTTTTCTGGTTGAAGGCTAGCTGTTTAGTTTTGAGGTCAACTGAAGCACAGAATAGCCAAAACAAGATGCTCAGGGAAGGGTTCTGACATGTTACCATAACCATCCCCATTACCGTTTAACATTAAAACAACAGTCCAAAAGATAGCAGCAACTCCAATAATCCTTACTTTTTTAGCATCTTCATTCTCTGACAGCCACAATTTCTTATGACAACTTTTAGAATGTGTTGTGTTGTGAACATTTTCACAAAGAAAGAGGCATGCATGTGATTATTTGATCTAAAAGAGCAGCTTTGGGATGAGGGACAGCAAGAGATCAACAGATATCTGGAAATAGTACAAATGAGGATAGTCTTTGGTGGAAATTTCCAGCATCTTGTGGCTTAAATTAGATAAACAGATGCCCAGGAGTTACAGGTCTGGTGGTCCATGCCTCATTGCCTTCTATATATGCCACATTTTCAGTTGGAAACACTTTAAATGTTATTATATTTGTTCAGCTTTTTTTGTTAGTAAGTTTTTTTGTCTAATCAGTAAATTTCTTTAACCACTTACCTTAGGCAACTTTTTGGAGAGACTTCAAGATTTCCCAGGAAATCTTATAAATACAGTAGTTAGCAGACTAATAAATTACCAGTTTGACAGAGCGAATACTATGTTTCATTGCAGACCAAATTCATACATATGTAGCCCACTTTGGTATTAAAATCATAGGGAAGCTGCATTTAATGTTGGGAATATGCATAATGCTTTCTATACATAAATACATGTTTAAAATTTGAATCTAGCTTGTCCATGTCTTTTTATTGTTGTTTTTACATGTTACAAATCTGGAAAGGGAAGCTGTACAGATGTCTATATTATGAGGGAAAAAAGGAGCCAAAGACTGTAAGAGACAAGGTGAAAGACCCAGAGCAAGAGAAAGGTCACCTTTTTTTATCCACATGTTCAGATGACCGATAAGGTTTGTGGTGGACTGTTCCACCTCCTCCCGCCCTTTTCTCTGATCCCCGGCCAGCTAATCACTAGACCGAACTCCTCTGCTCCCACAGGTGGACTGAGATTTAGACTGTGTGTCAGCGTTACTGTGAACGCTTTGAATAATGTGAATTCCATGAGTAGTGGTGTACAGAGCAGTAGTATGGATATTATCTATGTGTCAAGGAGTCTGTGGGAACAGGTTTGCACATGTTTACAAGTGCAAATGCGCATTTATTCTTGTTTGACTAGAAATCATTTCAATAATCCTAGCTGTATTTGCTACGAATGAGTATAGACGACATTTCTACACAATCCACACTTGTGTTTTATATCATTACTCTGTTGAATATCACATCTTAGTCTTATGTCTATGTGAATATGTCTCTTTCTTTGTAATTCCATTCTGAAATGTACCTCACACTGACTGCCATAAAGCATTAGCGGTCCATTTGTTTTGTCGTACCAGAGTCCCTGTCAGGAGGAACTGAACAGGGCCTTGGAGGAGATCTCCAAAATGACGTCCGAAGATAACCGAGGCCCGCTCGAGAACCTTTACGAGCTCAAATTTCCAAACTGTGACAAAGATGGGCTGTACAACCTCAAACAGGTGAGTCCTGGACTCCTTGTTTGAACCCAGTATCTTTCTCATATATGAGTAGGATCTCTCTGGTCATTTCTACTTCCTCCCATCATCCAAACACATGTATGTTAGGTCAAGTGGTGATTCTGATTGACCGGAGGAGGGAGTGCGAATGTGAGCATGCATGGCTGTTTGGTTGTATTGTTTGTCCATGTTGGCCCAGCAAAGGACTGGCGACCTGCCTGAAGAGCCCTCCGCTTCGCTCCCAGTGGAGCCTTGGACGGGTTCCAGGGACTGGAACAATAAGTGATGCTAAAAAGAAACAACAGGAGAAACATGCTGCAACTAATCAGGTCAATTGGCAACCGGTCAGCGACATTATTGGGTATGAAAAGAGCACCTTAGGGACGCGGAGCCAATCGGAAGAGAAGATGTATCAATGTGAAGCTGCGGGACTGAATATTTCCTCTGTAGCCATAATACAATCAAAATTAGGAGAAGGGGGGGTGTTGCCAAACAGGGAAGATCCATCTTTTTTGGGCCATCTCGGAATTTTGCACTAAAACTTATCAAAATGTTCTCTATGTATTTCACAAATGCAGGTTAAAGTTTTATTGTACGAAAAAAATAAGTCATATGAACATGATCCAGAAAAGTTATTGTCTTATTTTGGTTAAAATTAATCAAATTAGCAGCGAAAATTAAAAAAGAAAAGGATCTGTGTTCCCGAGAAATCCAATCTGAGATTCAATTTGAAAATCTGCATGCTTCTGGCTCCGGCCAAAGCAGGATTCCGCCGAAGCATCACTTTTAAATGCACAGTTTCTCCAAACAGGAAACAGATTGATTGCATCGTAACAAAGAAAACCTCTGTGAAGTTTACTCCAGGAATGCACACTTTTAAAAAAACTGGACTTGACTCTTGACTCTATGGTCCATATTCCTTGTTCAGAACTGAGCACTACAGTATGTAGCAGATAGGACATAACTGGACAAATAGCGAAAAAGATCGAAATAAAAAATGGTTTAGAGCAAAAGAAAAGACTTAAAAGGAACCCTGTGCATTGGGAATCACAAATTGATCCTTGATCAACCAGTAGTATACGACAAATATGCTGGAATATGCTTAATCTTTCCTTGAAAGAACATTAGACGCTCATAATGGCTCTTAATGATTTTCCCTTCTAAATACTAAATCTTCTGTTTGTGTTGACATTTGTAACTGTCACAAGACTAACCGTTCAAAATTCTCTTGTTTTTCTTGTTTGGCCTAGCAAAACTGCGTGTCACACTTTCTCCTTCCTTAATAAAAAATAAAGCCCAAACACACCATCATCCTATTTTTTTTTCCTTTTTTTTGTTTTTAGCTCACAGCACATTGCTTGTAAATGCACACACATACATACACATGAGGGGATATCGGCTTCACGAGGCAACAAACTTCTGAGCTCAAGGTTACAAGGTAATAAAATGGTTTGGCGTAGTGCATGGGAAGACTTTTGTTAGAGCCGGGGAACCAAAGCGGGCTTCCGACTGGGGGGAATTTCAATTCTGCTCATCCATACAAATCAAACAAGGTCACATATCCAGTTTGTTTTGTTTTGTGTGTTTTTTTTGTTTTTTTTTGTTTGGTTTTGTTTTTTCTTTTTTAAAACAAAGATAGCCGAGCTGAAAAGAAAGATTTTGAACAGACGCCACGGTTTCCGAATGCAGGGCCCTCAACCACTCGGCCAATTTTTCGTCACTGGTCACAAACAACGGCATTGTCTCCGACCGGAGTCCTCAGTTCCCAGGGGGAGGAACACTGTACCTCCTCAACACTCGGCTCCTCTTTGGAGTTGTCCTTCCTTGTCGCGCAGTAATTACTGTAACTGTCACTTTTTTTGTTCTTTCTCATCCAAGGAAGAAAATAGAAAGTCTTTTCTTTCTCCCCCGGGCTCCTCATTTTTTTTTTTCGCCGACCCCTACTCAGCGGCCCCGCGTGCGCGGGCGTAAACTGTGTCCACTTCAATTACGGCCTCGTTCCTGAGCAGGGGAGGGGTCTCCGCAGGGGGGCTAGCCTGTTGACGTGCCCCTGTGTGTGCGTGTGTGTGTGCGTGCGTGTGTGTGTGCGATGCGCTAGCGTGTGGCCGTGGATAAGTTGTGGGTTGTGTACAGGGGGTATGACCTGAAGACGGGCTGTTATTGGGTGAGCATTGTCCCACCCGAGCCATGGCCCTCGCTCTCCTCCAATGGCCTGACAACACCAAAAGATCCACACACACACACGCACACACACACACACACTCTTAAGCTACCATACGCCATGCTTCATTAATGCATCCCCCTGCTTCCCACCCTGCATCTTCGGCCCCCCTCCTCCTCCTCTTTTTTTTTCGGTGTTTTCCAACTCATCCAGTTTGTGTTTTTCTTCCCCTTTCTTCCAGTGCAACATGTCCACCCACGGCCAGCGGGGCGAGTGTTGGTGTGTCAACCCCCTCACGGGGGTTCAGATCCCAGAGACGCCCAAAGTCCGAGGGGATCCCAACTGTAGCCGGTTCCAAGAGGAACTCAGACCAGTACCCACCGCAACAACATTCGGCTAACTCACACCTCATTAAACAACCCGACAGACCAAGAGAGGGGTTTTTAGTATTAAGATTATTGCAGTGTTTTTCAACCTTTTTTGAGCCAAGGTATATTTTTTCATTAAAAAAAATCCAGAGGCACACCACCAACCAAAAATGTCAAACAAATCTGTAGCCGCCTATAGTAACACTATAGTTATTCTTATCTTATTCTTATCTTATTTTAAGTGTCTTGAATAGGAATCAAATAAACACAAAAATGTATGTTAATCATATTTTATATTTCTTCTTTCAAATTGCACTTAACATGTCCACTTCAATATACAAAATTATATACAAAATCTAGTCATAAGGAATTATTACATGATTACTCCTCCAGTCACTAGAACAGCACAGACACTCAAAAATTATTTGCAGATAATTAATTCCTTATCAAAAATCTTTTTAGACCAATGAGGTGAAATAGGATGATTTTCTACGGCACACCTGACCATCACTCACGGCACACTGTGTACCGAGGCACAGGGGTTGAAAAACACTGGATTATTGTATACAAATGTAAAACTGTTTAAATTTTAATAATTGATACCACCTAGGATACATTTATGTCGATATGGTATATATGTATATAATGTACATATATACAATTAAACTAGTATACACACACAACCATAAATATGGGCTGGGAGCTTTAATATGTTGATTTTGAGATAGTAATTGTCTCTAAATATGTTTAAAAACGCTTTCCAGTTTGATATAGTGGTAGTAGTTTGCTGTCACTTTCAGCTTGTTACATTAGTTGATCACCATCACTAGTTCATTGTGGTAAAAAAAAAGGAAAATACTTTACCCATTTGGCAAAAACACTCTAGAAAGCTGGCTTTAATTTTGAGTTACTGAGTCCTTGGCTCATTTCTAAATATCTGAATATCAGGGCAGGGGCTTTGATTTGTTCATTTTGATTAAGTAATAATAATTATAACGATATATACATATATATATATATATATATATATATACATATACACATGTTTTCATAGTTTGGTGTGCTATATTTTTCATCAACTGAAGATTCTTAATGTTTTTCTTACAGGTACGTATATGAGTTTTATTTTCATTTTAAAAGATATGAAAAAGACAAAAGGGTTGTCGATAGCTTGAGTTGTATAACTACATTATGCTAAAGATAATTGAAATATTAAAACCTAGATACATCTTTAATTGCACTCATTTTGGTTTCAGTGGGGAGACATCTCCTTTCTGCCCTGTCCCAGAATTACACTTTTTAATACACACTATCTTTTTCTTACAGTTTTATTTGTAAATCATTATTTATATGTTTCACAGTCCAGCTGTAGATGGCAAATGATAACCATAGACATTCTGCTCTCTGCAGATCTGCTCTGGCAGATCAGATGGGACTTCACATCACAGTTAAATAACATTTAACACCCTCATTAAGTTATTCTTAGAATTCCTCTGTGTTTACACCAGGAGCCTGGCGGCTTCACAACAGTGAATGATCAGCTATTCACAGCAACTCATTCTGTTCACCATTAAAATGACTCAATAATGCTTTTTACCTTCAAAGTGTTTATTAAAAACTTTGTAAAAATCTGATTAGATTCCAGGGTGCATTGCATGAAAACAAAAAGCAGCCACGGTTATCTTTGCAAAATACTTTATATATTTGCAGAGTATAGTGAGCTTCCATTTTCCGGTTTGTGTGATTATCATTTGGATTAACTAATAAGTGAACATTTTCAAGTTAAAAACAGATATTTAAAATGCTAGTTAGTTTGATATAGTTCTCGTGCTGTTACTTTCAACCAGTTTCATTAGTTTATCACTCAAATACAAACGTTTAATGTTTGCATTAATAATAATACTAATGTAATCACGTTAAAAACATTCTGGCAAAAACACTGCATTTCTGAGTCCTCGACTTAGCTAAAAGTTAGATTTTTTAAATCCTGAAAACTATTTTTAACTCAACCAACACCAATGAAAAAATAGAATAGAATCTTAGGCTGACAAAAGACATATTTGACCTCAGAATTGTACCTCTTCACTTTTACAGTTTCAGTTTTGAATATCTTGGATTTACAGTGACATGAAGCCCCATACAAGTAATTCAATAACATCATAAAAAGCTATTAAAAATAACAAAATAAGACCAAACAAGATGAGAGGTACTCAGCATTCCTTGCTGGACCGAAATGAAAATTGTATATGTTTCACGGTCTACAAGCATGGATACCCGTGTTTATTCTTACTTTCCCAAAAGAATTGGAAGGTTCTATGGCAAAACAAACAGACTTTATGAGTTTCAAAATATGGAGTAGAGAAAGTTTTGAATTTCCCATATCTGAGCGTTTGTCTGGATCTTGATCAGAAAATTATTTTGTCTTGTTATGCAAGTGCTGACTGAAATAGCTGAAATGACTCAAATTTACCAGTATCACAAGTTTTTGTTTTTTGTTTTTTGTTTTACTACCAAACTATTATTTAATTGATTAGAACACGTTTGATGAATGTTTGCAATTCCAATGTTTTGTGAAGGCGTCATGATAATGGGAATCCCCTCAGCCGCCCCAGACCTGAACAATACCATCTGTCTGACATCTAAGTTTTGGCAAAAACAGCAGAACATTTGAAACACAAGCACATAAAATGAGAAAAAAGGAAAATTAAGTTGTTCCACTGGAGTCCAGAATCCAACTTGTTTGAAATGCTGCAATGGGACCCTGAGAGAACTGTGCATAATTGAATAATAATACTAATTTAAGTAATAAAGAAAAATAGGCGATAATTCTTCCAGTGGTTAGTATTTGGAATTATGAATATGTTCACAAATGTAAAACAGCATATTGACGTCCAAACAATCAAATGATCTGCACGTCCATCAGACATTAATGTTTAGATAGATTTGTTAGTTTTTCAATACATATGGCTTTTAGGATTTAACCACTTTATTGAATGAAAAATGGCATTCTTTAGTATAATAAAGACTTATTTATCTGCATTTAGATTTAGGAAAGATATGCTCACGATAACAGTTTACTTTGTTTTCATTCATGTCTTGATATGAGAAACCTTAAAACTAAAAGAAGCTGTATTTTGCATACATGATTGCTTTTGTTTGTGTATATTAAATGTGTCATTGCTCCAGATCTTTTTCTTTTATAAGTATTCAGTAACATTGTCTTTATGTGTTGATGCTTGCTTTATTTGATAAACTCCCGGAAGGTGCATTTGTTGAATGCTAACACAATAATTGTTGTTTTATCTTTGTTGGATGACAAGGTACAGATGTCAGTGGGAAAAACAGACATTTTTCTTTAAACATACCCAATTACCAAGTTTCAGCTCAGCAGGAAAGCTTTCAACTTTCTGTATTTTATGATGAAAATACACTCAGGTGAGAGCGTGGAATTGTATATGTGCAACAAATGTGCAAAGCATAGAATATAAATCTTCATCCATGCTGGTTTGAAGCTGAAAATGTTCTCTTTAATGTGAGACTGTGATTAACAGCAACCGGATTTTTAGTGTCCCTTCTGAACATTACCATTAACTCCCAACACACAAGGTAGGTTCAATGGGAATGGGAAATGTCCCCATTGTTACAAGATAGAGGATTCTCTCTGCTTAGCAGTCCTGCCTTAGCTTTCTTTTGTTTTTTGTGTCATGTATCTAATGTTTTAAAGGGGACACATTATGAAAAACCAAGTTTTTAATCATTTGATGATGTACATTTGGGACTGTGCAGGGTCTATCAGCAGGCAAAGTGTGAAAAAAATGACTCAGTCATATTTTTGTGGGCTGCCTCAGTCTGAATCCAGGAGATAAATCAGGAGGTTTCAGGAGTGGGTAGTTTCTGACGTCAGTAGCTCTAGCTCATTATAATATTCCAGCCTTTCACCTGCATGTTGCCACCCACCCTCAGCTCACTCCGCCTATCTGTGGAGACGTCCTGGTAGCGTGAGCGTTAGCATGGTAGCGTTAGCGTGGTAGCGTTAGCATGGTAGCGTTAGCGTGCCGACGTGGGCACACCTCCCTGAAGAAGTGGGTGGATTGCCTGTGTCTCATTTGCATTTAAAGAGACAGGCACTCCAAAGCGAGCGCTCTGAACGGGGCTGTTTTGGGTTAGGGTTAGGGTTAGGGTTAGGGTTAGGCAGGGGGACTGAACTGCTATTGGGCTTCATCCTTATGGGATTTTGACCAAAGCTTGTCACAGACATTACATTAGGACACCAGGGAACTAGCTTAACTTGTTGAAATAGGGTATAATATGTCTCCTTTAAGTTAATGAACGTTGAGGCCTGAAAACAAGCAGTTGGTATGGAGTTTAGCATTGTATTGGTCAAAGCATAAGTTGAGCCAATGATGCCCTCACTTCCGTCAGAGATGAAGACCATTGAACTGGGATCTGATAAGTTGGATTGTCCTTTTTCTTTGTTGAAGTTTCAAATGAATTTTGATTGAACTTTGTCTCAGTACTTCTTACATGTATCATCATTTGATGATAAACTATGGTCTCAGACAATTATTAAAAGAAATAAGTGCCCATGCAGAAATGTTTGTTCCAGAATCATGTCTGTTGTAAGTGAAGTGTTACTTGAAGTCCACCACCAAAAGATTAGGAGGAGCTAGAGTTGTATTTCCTCCCGTGTATTCCAAATTGCACTGACCAATTAACATACTGACCAGTTAATATAATAACTCATGTTTTACTAAACTTGTGCTGCCCCATATCAACATTTTTTCAGACATGCTGCAGCCATTAAATTCCAAATCAGCTATTATTTAGAACAAAAAATGTGTCATTTTCAACTACTGGTAAGTTTCCTATTGATATTGATCTTGGCCGATAATCGATTCCTGTTTTTCAGAACTGAGGCTTAATGAAATCATTGTGATGAGGACCACAATAATGATTGGAATCAGTTATCAAAACTACAGAAAAACTACAGAAAACAACAACTAAACTAAACAAACAAAGCAGATGCTTTCTACAAAGCCAAACATCTTCAGAAAAAATCCTACAGAGTTTTCATTACCATTTGCAGTTTACTGAAATCACCAATATAACATAATAGCTGTATCTTGAGATGCTAGTTTTATTGCTGGTATTACTTAAATTGTTGCTTTCAGTTTACATAACATTTATGATTCTCACAGTTACAACCACATCCGTTCTACGCCGAGGAAACCCTCCATTTGGGATTCCAGGTCGAAGTCCATCCGTGATGAAAGAGTTTGGATAAAAACCAGCAGGCACTTGTCTGCCTGGATTCTACCACCGGCATCGGCGGATTCCACCCCCAAGTCATGTGATTTACTCAAGCACCGTACATTCTTTTAAAATCTCCTTTCATCTCGATCTCCGCGATGAGAAGAACCACCATTACCGCTTTAAAAGATGACATTAACAAGAGCACAAGCGGTGATTTGCAAAGATCCCAATGATGCAGCGTTAACATCTGCATACCATTTGTTCTCGTGTGCCTTTTAATATCCCTTTTAATGTTGCTAAAACCTTAAATCCAAAGAGATGGACCCGACTTAATAGCAGCGTAGTTTACATGGTTTATATAGTTTACATATGTAAGAGAGTAACAGAAAATTCGGTAAAAAAAAAAAGAAAACCTAAACTTTCAGAGGGAAATGATTTTGTTTACCAGAGACATGTCAAGCATGACAGTCGGACTGGCTTTAGGACCGAGTGGGGTGCGTGAGTTGATAACACATGTAGACATCCACCATAGTCGGCCTAATCATGTAATAAAAGGGGCATAAATGCTTTGAAGTCATAAGTGCAGTTGTCAGTTTCTTTGAAGGCAAATAGTAATTGTCATGCTTGCTGCCTCACAAATCAAATCTTCCACACGTTTACACCCTCCCCGAAGTCAACGCCGTCCCTGCCTGACACACACACACACACACACACACACAATGCACACACAGAAACAAGGAAACATACCACAACAGTCTTTACGGCATCATCTGCCAGCCATACAGGAACAGCTTTGCCTTTATTTAGCCCCTTTCATACCCTGCCTGTGTCACCGACATCTGGAGTTGGTCAGTGTTGAACAAGGACCCCCCCGGGGAAAAGTTTTGGTCCCATCCCCTCAACAAAAAGAACCAAAACTGAAATTCATAAAATAAAAAAAACAAGTAAATCCCATCGGTTAATCCCTTAAATCCCAGAATAAATAGAATTACACCCATCTCAAGAGGTCCACCAACAGATCATTATCTTATACTTGAGGATTTCTACAATTGTTGACACGACCAAAAACAAATACCAAATTAATCCGTTGAGGCATCATGTTACAAGCGTCCATGCTGTTGTTCTGATCGATTAATCTATTCAGTTGATGTTTTTCTCAGTTATGTGTCCCCAAGGAGTTGATTATGCTATTAAGTACAACACATGGCAGGATTTTGAATAAGACAATAAAGGTTCCAGGCTACAAGTATCTCCTTCCCCATCATTTGAATACTGTGTGGGTCCCCCCTCGCCTTGAAGTTCAAACCCGCGTTAAATGACTTCCTTGTTCCTGTGGAATCTTTCAGTGTTGAAAACCAGGTGACTGGCCTTCGGGTGAGGCTTTTATAAAGTCACATCCTGCACGGGATCCTGTGGGCTAGCCGGAGCGTCTCAGACTTATGTCTAAGAGGTTTATCAGCTCATGCCCCAGAGATTAGCCGGCGCTTACTATTAGGATGATTCCGATTCAAACTGTAAATTTGGAGCCAATTTGGCAGCTACTCAACGGCACAGAAAGAAAAACTCATGGAAAAGGCTTAAATGAATACATAACTTTATTTAAATAAATGCTTTGTCATAACAAAAAGACAAAGGTTAAAAGAGTACATAAATTACAAGTTGAATAAATATTACACAGTGATATTCACTTTGATAATTTGAGATTTTTTGCCTTTTTTCTTTTTTTTTTTAATTGTCCTATGTAGCTCCAAATACTGACCATTGTTTCCCGCTACCTTCCTGCCACCGATGGGTCGTTTTCACAAGCGAGTGAACACCAAATTCGGAAAACCCAATTGAACCGTCTCCTCTTATCCAAAAACCGTTATGTATTCAGAAAAAAAAAGTTGTACTGTAGTTATTGTCCTACTGAAAAAAATGAAATGTGAATGAGTTTAAACCAGGTAGGAAAATAAGAAACCTGAGGAAGCTTCTGCGCACAAACAGGTGAGGAAAACAGCAAATAATTTACTCAGTAAATTAGCAACCATCCATCTGTTTGCATCATTTACCGGTCTTGATATTTTATAATTCACTGTTTTCTGTATCAAAACTAGACACTGTGCACCTAGTGGCAGTGTTGCGTTCCCCAGATTTCCGTAACTCCTTGTAACTGTTTTACTAACTATATCTAGTGTCACGTAATTGGTGACCCCACAGTGGGGAAGTGGCTATGCCCTGATAATGACCACCGCTCATGGTGCTCGCTCTTCCTCTTTCCTCTTCCCTATTCCCTCTCTCCTCCGTCTCCTTTTTTCCCTTTCCGTATCAGCTGTCATCTCTATCCAACACGCTATGAGAACATCTCTGGCTGCGAGTTACTGTAGTCTATTTTTTTTCTCTTCTAAAAAGATGTTGCTGTAGTAAAAGGTCCCAGGCATGGGCTTTTACAGCCCCTGTCATTTAAGATTACCCCAAAGCTCCATCTTTGAATGGTATAAAACGTGACAATACGACATTCATCTCTTCGCTGTTCCACTGTCCTCCTGATACAACACTGTAAGGATGTCAGTGCGTAACAGTATCAGGAGTCGGTAAATGACAGAAGTACATGCAGCTTTCTATTTTGTTCAAAAGTAGTAGTTGGGATTCTGTGTTGGAAATAGGGAAAGGAGCCTGTATGATGTTTTCACAAGCAGAAATCATTTAGGATGTGTGTATTATTTCTCTTTAACAACATCCAAATGCCCTTTGGCTTCCCCTCTCTCATATATATATATATATATATATATATAGGCATTCACATGAAAAAGAGAAAATCAGGAAAGTTAGCTTATTGGTTGTCAAAGAAAGAGCAGAAGGCATTAACTGACTGTGGTTACTCAGTGATTACTCCCACGTCTTCCTGGTCCAGAATTAAAACAGAGGTACATGCAGAGATTACTGGATTCGCAAAGTATTGCTGACACAATTGAAAAGATACACCACATTCATTGCTCTTGTCTTCATTAGAACTGAACCTTGACTGACCCATCAAGCATCAGACCCCAGCCTGAGCGTTGCTCTCATTTGTCACTCTCACATCCGCGTTTCAATGTATTTGCATGGAGGAAGGCACTGAGATTTGCCACAGGGAGAGAACCCTATCGACAATTCAGTTAAAATCCCGTAACCTTTAATCTTTTGATCATGCTCCGCTGAGATAGAGGCAGATGACCTTTTCATATGGGGGCATATCATCGGAGGGGATTCCAGAAGTTTAGCTTTGACTGCACTGTAGTCAAATGATTGTGGGCCACAGTCCTGACAGGCCACCAGGACATATTCTTTACAGGCGAAAAATGTTTCCTTTTTTACCAAGCACATTTACATAATTGTCAGACTTTGATTCTACAGGAAAAAAAAAAAAAACATTCCGTAACTATATTTCAAAGTAATGTAATACACCATGGTTACACTGTGGTAGCAGTACTTGAGGGGAAACCACTCGATAAAAAGGAACATGGCTCAAAAGTGGGCAGTTTTTTTTACTTCACTGAAGGCAAAGAAATCAGCACAAACAAAACCATACAAAAACAACAACTCACACAAACGATTCAGCGAAGCAACCCAAGCCCGACTGGCAAATTTTTTGGTTACGGTATAACTCGCAAAAAGGTCAAATTCAAACTTGAGCCCCATCCCTTTTTTTTTTTTTTTTTGCTGAAAATCTTTATTTCACCAGTAGAGTCAGTGTTCCCTTAGCTCTGTGTCGCCCTGCATGGCAGTGTCTGTTCAAATAGGCACGGTTGGCATAACAGGCTAGCTACATTGTCAAAGAGCCACTTACATAGGTTCATCTGATACGATCTGCTCACTCCTTTGTTTTCGAGAGACTTTCTTAACATTATATAGAAGGCCAGCCACGAGGCGACCTCAAACATTAGGCATACTCATAGTGAGGAAAGAAAAGAAAGACAATCTATTTTTCTAATAGGCTTCGTCATACACCAACCAAAGCTTATATATAACACATTCGCACTGTACACAGGCTCACACCCAAGCACAGAAGATTTTGTGACTAAGCTGGATCCCCCTGTTTGTAAGCGCTCCGACAGAACCGCGTACTTATAGATAGAGTCAACTGTTACAGAAGATCTCTATCTAGTTTCTTTTTTTTTTTCTTTTGGAAAACGGACAAAAACCAAATTACTCTGTCAATCGTCGGTTTTACGGCATCATGTTCCAAAGCCGAAAAATGTTTTTTTCAATTAGTAAACACGATGCCCTGGTTTTTTATGTTTAAATTTGATCCACATTGATTTTCTTTCAATTTTACATGACAGAAAATGTACTGAAATACCCGGTTCCTGGGGGAAAAAAAAAAATCCATTCTGTGAATGTTTTTTTTTTCTTCTTTGTTGTGTTTTTCTCAAAACCAAGCAAGGGATGTGAGGGATCCCGTGATTGATCATCAAGGGGGGTCTAGTAAATCTTCAGGGTCTTTCCCCCTTCGGTCAGAAAAAAATAGTGCTTGGTCAAAAACAGAAAAGAAAACATATGTCTTTTTTTTTTCAGCCTGCTATTTTTGTCTGGATCTTTCTCTTCCTTTTTCCCCACTTGAAAAAAAAACGAAAATCTTGAGGTGAACAGACGATGGAGAAAAGAAGTGTAATTCAGAGAGGAGGCATGGGCCTTGCGTCACGCGGTGGTTTTCGGGGTGGGGGGGGGGGGGGGGGGGGGGGGGGGGGGGAGTCAAGGACGGCCTTCCTCATTTCATTCGTTGTTGCTGCTCTCCAGGTCTTTACACTGAATGTCTCCTCCACTGTAGTCTGTGCCCGGTAGCTGGACGCCATACTTGTCCACACACCAGCAAATGCCTCTTTTGCGACCACGTGACGGCTTGCACTGTGGGACAGGGAACAGAAAAAACAGCTTTAATCTACATTTTGCATCTAAACCTAACCCTAACCACTGCAAGACACGATACAGAAATGTAATCCACGTAGCTGTGTAAGCTTCTAGTGTGGATACCTGCACCGTTCTGTCATATGGCAAAGTCCTTTTACCTAATGGAAGAATGACGTCTTCTTTTTCTTTTTTATCTTCTTCGTCTTTTTTGCCAATGTGTGGAGACATCTACGCACACTGTATTAGAATCCAATGTGATATTTCCCCTCAGGGACCGTTAAGTTTATTGTATTGTATCACTTCTAATCTGGGCGTATTAAATCATATCGCCAGAAACGTCACCCGGCAGATGATGACTGTTTGTAGAATTTGGGGTATTTTTCAGCTCCAACTTCAGACTATTCAATCACGAAAGGCAACCATCTGTGATGCAAGTGTAGAGTTAACGAATTAAAGTGGAATGGGCTAATGTTCTGGGGTTTAAAGAGGTATCAAAACATTAGCTCATACATAAACCAACTGTAGCTTTCTGCAGCAATAGCCAAGAACTTTCAAACCAAAACCACCAAGAATCTTAACAGCGGGGTTAGCTTTGGCCTTGAAGAACAATTAGTTTCATTGTGCAACATTAGCGTTTGGTTATAAAGTGCAAAGTGGCTCCACCCACCTGCTTGCGTTTGAAGAAGCCTTTTCTGTCACAGTTGGGAAGGTATAGAGACAGAGCCATTACACGGGACGTGTCCTTCATGCCCTGGATGATCCCGTCTAGCTTCCTCCTGCAGGGACCCTTCAGAGAAAAACGATACGAGCGTCACAACAGAGCTGAACGTTCAAATTTCTGCTACGTTACGATGCAAACAACTACTGTAGACAGTTTGCTATCAATTTGTTAAATCAGGATTATCTAGAAATAGCTGTTTCTTAATTTCAGGTGGTTTAAATGCTTGTTTAAACAAAACTGAACAAAGTGTTGCGGTATTTTTTTCTACCTCCGAGTTGCAAATGACAATGTTGAAGATAAAACTTAGTACGTACAAACTCCGGCTCGTGCTTGTCCACAGATAGAGGGGAGTAGTCCATAGTAGAGCCCAACGAACGCTGCTTGCCGAGCAACCTCTTTTTCTCCTTTTGCACCGCGATGACTTTTTTACTGTTCACAATGTCTTTGTGATGGCGCGGCACCTTGGCCTGATGGATGTCCCCCGTGGCCTCCGGACTGATGGCATCCTCGTGCTCCCGAGACTCACGATCTGCACCAGAACACGTACAAGGTTAGTAAATGATGCTTTTTTTAAATACTTTTTTTTTGTTTGTGTCTTGTTAGCATATAGCAATCCATCTATTGTTAGAAGAAAAGTCATTTCTGGACAATGGAACACGGATTCGGTGGTTTAGCACCGTTTCCTCATAGCAAGAGGTTTCCTGGTTCAGGTCCCGGGGGGGGGGGGGGGGGACCTTTCTGAGTGGGGTGTGCATGTTCTCCCTGTGTCTGTGTGGGTTGTCTCCAGGTACTCCACCTTCCAAAACCATGCATGTTTGGTTAATCTGAATTATCCCTAAGAGTGAATATGAGTGTGTGTGGTTGGTTGGTTGTTTGTCTCTGTGTAGCCCTGCGATTGGTAACCTGTGCAGAGTGTACCCCGCCTCTCGCCCAATGCCAGCTAGGATAGGCTGCCACCCCCCCACGACCCCGTTGGTAATAAACACCATAGAAAATGTATAGATGGAACGCAGTTCCTGGTTTAAAAGTGATAATAAGGCAGAATCCATGAAAAGCCTTAGAAAAAGCTCTTCGGCCTGATATTATCCCAACAATAAAACATAGATGTTAAACACCTAATGGCATTATCTGCTCACTGATGATAAGATACGCCGCTTAGAATAATTCACAAACAGAGAACGGTTTAAAGTAATGGTAATGTTATCTTCCATCTGCATTCAAATAGAAATTAATCACAAATCAGGTGGGTGCATGTCCAATGGTTTCTGCCAACTGTTGAGGGGATCCCTGAGTTTGGACCAATAGCTGATGAGCTTTTAGGGACAAGACAACAGTTTAAAGGTATATGTTCTTGCCAAACCTCTTTGGGGTGCATACAATATATAGGGGGAGAAAAAAAGACACCAAAATCTACCAACAGTAGTCAGATAAAAGTGGACCCTTCAAGGATTTGTTAGTTTATTCTGGAGTTAGATGTGATAATCTTACAGCAGACATAAATCCTGATATGATGACTGGAGCTTTTTGAGCAACACACCTGAACAGATTGGGGGAAAAAAGTATCCCAGTACGGTCTAAATGTGAAACCTTCAGACGGTCACACGGCTCCCCCAGGGGGCACTGTGGTCCCAGAGATTTGGAAAGTTCTCTTGATGGGATATTTAAGGGTCCAGATCCTTTATCCCCACCGACAACACCCCTCCCCCCGTTTCCTATCTTTGGGGCTCAGCCCTCTTAAGCCCGGACCCCCAGCCAGAGGTTCTTTGAGGCCACAGAAAGAAAAAAAAAAAAAAAAAAAGCGCTGCACCCCCCACCCCTCGTGGCTTAGCTGTACCATAAGTACAGAGTTGTTATGGGGACTTTGCCAGGCCCCGACTGGCTCTAGTGATGGTGCCAGTGGATGACCCTGGCTATATTTATCTGACAAGGAAAACCCGCCTAGGTGCACTGAACCGGAGAGGAATGCTGGATCGTGGGCCAACTGCTGCTAAATGACAAATCAGCTCCAATCCGTAGAGAACAGGTCGGAAAATATTATTTAACAAGCCGCCATAGCTTCGCTCAAAAGGCTGTTAGCGCACTGCCACCATTGAGAGCCGAGCACCGAGACGGAAACAAGGCCGTGAGCTCTGAGAAGTGACGTTCAAAGAGCCTGACACAGCATGAGTGTCTGGGAGTCTTTCGCTAGGGAGGGGAGCCGAGGTGGGTGGAGAGGGCTGGGGGCGGATTGATTACCAGAATTGGGTCTTTGGCTTCTGTACTGCACTGGCCCTGTCTTTGAAATGAATCTCACAACTCATGACTTGGCAGGCCACGGTTTGTGTTTAGATATGTCCTTGTGTCTCCCCCACTCAGACGGCGAGGCTATTGCCTCGCTATAAATAAATATTTAAAACCAGCATTCCTATGAACACCATGCATGCGACCGCTGTGGAAAACCTCTTTATTTTTCGCTGTACAATCCAATCATTTCGCTGGGTGCCTGATTGAAATGCCACATATTTGGCAACGGGACCCACGGCTGAAAATAAGGACTTGTGTTTTTTTTTTTTTAACATGCATTCTTGTTTCATGTGTAATTTAATTTGAGCACATAAATGGTCGGACTTAAAAAAAAAGCTGTGGCACATAAATTATGCTCAGTCACTTCATGGAAAAAGTAAGTGTTTAGAGAGCAGAGTGAGAACAATACAAGGAGGTATTCTAAATTCAAGTTAAGGTTTGCACGATAAAAAGCCACGCTGAAAAAGAAATATGCGTATATGATCTGGACTCTAATTTGGCCGCAAAATAAAGTCTTTTTCCATGCTCAGTGTACCAAACATGTGAAGGTACTGTAGCTCAGAGGGTCTGGTTTAGCTTCTGAAACACAGCCAAGATTCTGGGCGGACGACAAGCTAGGCCACTAGTGTGCAAGTTCTCCATTCAGCTAAAGATTTCATTAGGACGAAAGAGGTGCACCTGATACGTCTCTGTTTAAAAATTAACATCTGCACACAATTATGCTTCATGAATATCCCAAGTTTCTTACGGGCAGAGGTCCAAACCTGAAAGATAACCTACACCTCCTTTGGATTTTTCTCTCCAGCGGATTTTTAAGAGCCTATAATTATACCTTTTCGACACTTAAAAGAAAAGGTTCTGGACAATTGATTTTCCCTTCGTTCATTGTGTTTCCCAGCATTACACCACGTTTGTTAAGTCCTTCCTTTGATGAAGTCAGTGTCTGCGCTGCATCTGAAATTACATCTTGATAAGATGTAAGAGAGCGGTGAATGGAGGTGCTGTTTAATCTCATCTGGAGGTAGGACAAGATAATGGTGGGGATAAATGAGCCCGAGGGCCCGTGCCACATCAGGCACGACAATAGTAAACCATCCTGCCGGCGTCACGCTGCCTACGCTGCTTAATATTTGAAAGCCGGGGTACGGCCTAATGACCTGGCAGTTTCTAGAGCAGAAAGAGAGGTGTGAAGTTGTGCCTGACGAAAGTCAAGTGCTTTTGCAAATGCCAGTTAGTTTAGAAATATAGGAAACATAGATAACCAGAGGTATCTTTAGTCAAAAATCTAGGTATGGTCTGTTTTTTGGGGTTTTTTTGCCCATTCTGACAACCATCTGTTTAGACTACTCCAGACCTGTTGGCTGTAATATTGGGGACCCAATGCATCCCAGTGTGGAGTTGAAGGATTCCAGACTGGCTTCCTGTTGGCAAAAATCCAAATTAGCTTGCTATGTAACATCAGAGGCAGATGAACAATAGCACATCTCTCTGTAAGTTGGTCTTACAATTTATTTAGTATCCTTTCAAATATGCTTCATTGTTGGTTGCTTCTATTAAATGAACCGTTAATAAATAATGGCTATATAATAAGAGTGAAAACGACATCATATGCTGGTATGTTAGACACCATTTTCCAATCTTGCTAGCGCTTAGGGTTTCTTATGTATGTCCAGAGCCTGAATTGTGAATTCAGCATAGCCTCCAATATCAGTCAATTTCTAGTCCTCATAACAAAAATGTTAAACATAATTGTCCACTGGAAGAAATAAAAACCAACACATTTGATACATTTTCAGGGATTTTGTAGGACGTCAACATTCAGGGTAATACGAAGTTGTAAACTAGCATCTAGCGTCTCTATTCTCTCCTCTCCACAACGTCTCACTATGTTAGCAAAACAATATAGACTCTAACCACCAGGCAATAGATACATGAAAAGATAATTTATTTAAAATGTGCCACTCCAATCTTAGCATAAAACACAGTTTAACTCTTCTTTGCATTCCCTGAAACAAAATGTAAGCTGTGTAGGGAAGATGTGAAAAATGGTTAACTTACAATCACCCATCACTCACCAAAATAAACCCAACAAAGTAAGAATCTATTTTTATATGTCATATAATCAACAAGAATTGTCGTAGTTAAGGGGGTAAAATCATTTTTAAGGAAACAGCTATAACTGAGAGATCAATTGGACAATTGGATAGTAAAAATAAACTTCGGTAAATGATATAACAATAAGTGTTTCTATGAGAAAGATTAATTGATGACTGAAAGAAGCTTACACCTGTAAAAGTGTTGTCAGTGATTTTTTTTGTTTAGTTTAGTTTTTTTATATGCCACCATATCTGTATGCCCCTTTTTCAGTGGAATTTCTGTGTTTCAATCTTGTGCACCTTCTCAATCAGCTTCTGAGCGGGCAGGAAATAACTTCTCACAGTATTGTGCACAGGGAATCTGTTCATTGCAATCAAAAAGTTTCCTGCTTTTCTGAATGCACGGTATAAATAGCAACAAGAACAATTCAAGGATCATAAATTGCAAAACAGGACTTTTGAGAGGATGCAAAGTCTTTCCAAGAGGGAAATACAGCTTTAGGTAAGCAAACTGTCTGCATGTTTACAGCTTCCACAACACACATACACACAAAACGAAATAAAACTTCTTTTTTTTCCACTTTGCAAGCCATGTGAAGGGTGAATTATCAGAGCGAGGCGCATGCCTGTCCTACTGTACATTGCTTATTTTGGTCTGAGATCTCATCCCATTTTGGGGTTTTCGGTTTTGTACAAGCTACACGCATAGATGCAGCGTCTTTTTGGGTCACCGCAACACAATTACTGGGTGTGACGAAATTTCTGACTCCCTCCGGGTGGCAGAAGCGGCTATTTTAGCAACAGCCAAGGGTTCCTGGATGCTCAGAGATCTTCAGGCAGACTTCAAAACAAAGTAACAGTGGGCAAAGTAACAAAAATTCACGGTTGCCACCATCTTGCGTAGGATTTTAGAGGCTAATAATTCGACTGACTGTCTGAGAACGCCTCTTTAATGCGACGTAATTTGAAGAAATGATCACTTTCAAGCAAATCTGATCTGAATCTGATCACGCTGAACTTTGTCCATAATTTATGAACAACGGTTACTTACAGTGTAATGTTCACCTCTGAGCACTAGTGGCATTCCGGAGCATTCACTGGAGCCTCCATTGTTTTCTCAGATCCTGAGAAACCTGAGCCTTTTTTTGTGCTGCTTGTGAGTGGAAACTCTCAAATCTTAACTATAATGACAGTGAAAAGAAGGTTTTTTTTTGGTCCTTTCCGACAGCACGCTTGTTCAGTATGTGTCACCAGGTGTCGGGGGGGGGTTGAGATCACAGCAGATCTACAGGTCGGGTCAAACCCATCTGACGTGTGATGTCTTCCGCAGCTGTCTCCACCGGCGGGCCAGGTGTCAGCGACCAGAATGAATACCGCCGTTAAAGTTTTACGGGGCGAAATCAAGCTAGCGCGCCAAACGGTTTATGTGCCTGCCGGTGGCGGTTCCAGAGAAGTCCCCGTCCCTGTAATCCCACTGTTGACCGAAAACTGGGCCGTAAAAACTGATGTCACCGGCAGCATCGGCTTCGCATCCAAGAAGCGGTTTCACATTTTCCACCGAAAAATGTGAAGCGGCCACGTGACGTATTGAGAAAATGACCTCCCCGCTAAGCACCTGCTACAGGTCCCATGCTTCTGAAACAGAAACAAAGCTACACGGGTTCTCCAAAGACAGAATTTGAGATAATCTTTCCGGGCCGGTGGTGGTTCTGCGGTGGAAAAATCAGATGTCAGCGCTCAGAGCTAAATAGCTTTTTACAGTTAGCGTTGATCACGGCTGATTAGGCAACAGCGGGAACGCGTCGCGCGTGTGAAAATATGAAGCGTCACATGTCCGCGGGGACTTCTGAATATTAACGACGTTTCTGTGTCACAAGAGGGGAAAAACCACCGAGGTTAGAGGACGTCACTGTAGGCCGACGCTGTCGGAAAAGCACCGAAACCGCGTCCAAACGCAGAACCGAGACAAAATATGGAGTATCAAAACCGCTCTGCGAAGGGGAACAGGAGGTTTCCTGTTGCTATGGTTAAAAAAAAAAAAAGATCTCTGCCTTTCTGTCTAAGTGTGAGAGGAACATTGCGGATTTGGAACCGCTCCTTTATCATCTTTTGTTTCTTGGCAGAAAAAAGCAATCTGTTAAAACATAGGGCCCTTTCAGAAGCCTGAGGGATGAAAGGGGATGAGAGAGGCCTGCTGCCATGAAGTCATATCTCTTGGCGAGCTTTTCAGGGCCCTGAAATTCGCTCGCCGAGTGCCCCTGAAGCACATACCACCGCCTGGGCTTAACAATCCGAGCAACTCCTGGGATCACAGGGCCAGAGGAAAGCACGAATTAATGCACCGCTGGGACACGAAGACAGACACAGAGCCATGGCTAAGGTCCTTTTTCTTGAAAAGTAAAGGGAGTGGGAGTGAGAATGTGTGTTTGTGTGTGTGTGAGAGAGACAGAGATAGCAGAGTTTCCTCTGTCCAGCGCTGTTTGACCGGTGTGTGACAGAAGGCCCCCTTCGAGAGCTGGACGGATATTGCTGAATCACCGGTGATGTGACAAAAGCAGAGACTTGGGGGGGGGGGGGGGGGGAGATGCTCCGGTTACCTCAGAAGGCTAACAAAGGAGTCGGCTTTTCGCGTGTATGTGTGTGTGTGTGTCTGTCTGTCTGTGTGTGTGTGTGTGTGTGTGTGTGTGTGTGTTTGAGAGAGGCCGGAGTGAAACAAAACTGCCTAAGGTGTCATCCCTAACAACAATCGTACACAATGCACACCCAGACACACACACACACACAGCCCCGCCCATGCACACATGAGAGCAGGCACCCAGACTGAAACTTGAAACACAGAATCCTGATCGGAGGAGGGGGTTTGGGGGGGCTGAAGGGGGCTGGAGGTGGGGGGGTTACCCTTTACTTTACATCATCTCCGATAGTGATCAATGCTTTGCAAAGAACGAGGTTATTTTTGGAACAATAGCCATCGTGGAGAGACCGAATCGAGTCCGAGGTGTCAAAGGAAGGGATGGGAGCTCGATCACATGACTCCATCAGCCCTCGGCCGTTTGTCAGCCAAAACTTTTCGTGGTTAGCAGCTACAAATCTAAACGCTGACAAGCTGCTAAAACTGGGTGACAGGGAACCTGCCGCACGGCGGAGAGTCTTAAATCACCCCCCGAGACGGGCTGTTTCAGCTCCTCTTCTCCCTCTTCACACTCTTCATCTCCTCTCTCACGCACAAGCAGAGGCCGGTCCCTCGAGACCAACTCTGAGCACCGCCCGGGCGGCAGGATTCAGATCCGAATCGATCAAAGTCATGCTTCGACATGACCCTCAGACAGAGAGAGAGAGGAACAGCATCCCACCATACCTGGCTTTTTTCTGGACCCATTTCAAAGTGCAAATGATGGTCAGGCGCCAAAAAAAGCCAAAACTGGAGCACATTTGGGGAGATTGTGAGCTTTAATACATCAAATATTCAATCATTAACATAATAATTTAATATAAAAAATGACTATTTGGAGAACAAGCTCACATCAGGTGCTGCTGCACTTTCCTGTTTTTATCCCTCAGAGAAAATAAGCTGTCAAGAAGTGGAGGAAACCCTTTTTTTATAAAGTGTTTCACCACCTGAAAATATTAGGATTCGTTTAATAGTGCAGTTGATCCAAACTTCTAAAAGGGACGGTGGTCTGAAACATCCAGGCTTCCAGCAATCCCCCATATTTCTGGAGAGCTGAGTGCCTGGATCTTTTTTCCACCAGCAGTTGGTCAGCCACTGTCACCACCGACACAGGCTCAACAAATCACCCAAATCAACCAGAGCAGGATTCGCAACCACCGTTGCTTCGATTTTCCCCCTCCCCTTAAATTCATATCCATGAGGTACCAATGAGCTCCGGTTCCGAGTCTCCCATCCTCAAGGTGCATGTTCCCTGTATGGGCAGAGAGCTGGAATAAGCTCCCGCGCGCACTTTGGTCGAGGAACGGGATAGAAGTTAATCAGATGGCACCACAAACCATCTGTCAAACACAACGGAGGCGCACACGAGCGCTACTCTGGGTCTCTTATAGTCGAGAAAGGAGCCGCCTATAGGTCTCCAAAGGGTCTCCAAAGGGAGCGCAAAGACCGGGGAATAAATGGATTTTTCCCCCACTAACAATGGAGCAATCACATTTTTACATTTAGGTTAAGTTTATCCCCCAAAGACACAGCATCCATGTGCCACAGAATCGCGGGGAGAGCCAAGAACGTGCGCATTCGTAACCACACCAACCCCCCGTTCATCACGCAGTCCGCCAGCCCGTGCGCGTTTCTTACCTACGGGTGAGGGCGCGGGCTTGTATCCTTTCTCGTTGGTGCACACTCCCCTGCCGTGGAGGAGCGCGTGCAGGGGCTTCTCCTCCCCGCTCCGGGGCAGGCACCGGAGGCCCTGGGTGCACGTCCCCGTGTACACGCCGCACGCCGCGCCCTCGGACAGCGCGCACGTCAGGCAGCAGCCGCAGCCGGGCTCCTTGACCACCTGGCACCCGACCGGCACCGGGGGGCACATGGAGAGCGCCTTCTCGTCGCACGGCTCGCACGGAACGTACGAGCCCAAGCACCCCGACAGCCCCAAGATAAATGTCACCAAGAGGCAAAAGCTCAGAAACATCGTTGGCGTTTC